ATTATAACGTCCCCCACTGCTGAAAAGGCAAGCATGTTTGATGGAACGGAGATTCGTACCTGCGACTCGCAGACTGCGAGTCGAGCGTCCTAACCAGGCTTAAAGTTCTTTAAATCATATATTCATATTTTAGCTGGGTATACATATATATATATATATATGTCAAACTAACTCCTCTCACAGAACCCTTATTTATTTGGGGTAAAAGATAGAAGAGGGGGCTAAAGCTCCCAGGAAAGTCACTCAGGTATGATGGGAGCTTATGATAAAGTTTTCAGGGTTGCTAAGCCCGCCCAAATTTGGCATGGGAGTTTGTGTTCTTGCCTCCTTTTGGATCCTTGGAGTACCATGTTTGAAATTGTGTTCATACCTTCCTTCACAAGCTAGCAGGACCAAACTTGGCACACGTGCTCAGGTATCATGGGTCTATGTCGTGATGGATTTTTTTTTCTTGTACGGACCACCCTTGGGGTAGCTGCAGAACTAAGTGAGGATAATGGAGGAGCATGATCAGTACATTAGTGGCTTTGTGAATTGGAAAGGGGCCTTTGAACTCTGAAGTGGAGCTGGGTATTTTATTCTAATTACTTTAATAATCGAATTATGCGTTATTCACTCTAATAATATCTTGTACATTCAAAGATAAAATCAAATCGAAGATCACAAACCACACTGGTAGGTTATAACTAACTTCACCTTTAGTAATATAAATGCTGTTGTCAATGGAACAAAACAAATCATTCATTCAAAATCAAGTTATACATTTTAATAGAGAGTACCCTATGTAGGAAATCAGTTCTAGCTAATTTTGTTTTCGGGGGTGGGGTAGGGGAATAATACAAAAATATGTAAACAATTAGTGCCAACTGATAAATGAAGGGTCCCTCGGTGGGACAGCGGTAAGTCTACGGATTTCCAACGCTAAAATCAGAGATTCGATTCAATTCAGTAGAACCACAGCAGATAGCACACTGTGTCTTTCTCTGCTCTAAAATAAACAAACAATCAGACAAATGAAGGAACTTTCAAAAGTGATAACTAATAAAAAATATTTTGCGTTGATTGTTAGAGGGGGCGAGCAACCTATCTTATCACATTGTAAGTTATGCTTTAAGTGGTTCAACGTAAAACTTGTTAAGTTAAAACAGTTCCCCAGTGGCTCAATGATAATGCTAAAATTATAGGCTCGACTCCTGCAGTGCACAAAACAGCTTAAGAACTTGTAAGAGCCCCCCCCCCCCAGTGACACAGCAGCATGTTTGCAGACTTATATCGCTATAAACCGTGTTTCGATACCCGTGGCAGGCAGAACACAGATAGCCTATTCTAAGATGAACTTCGGGGTTAAATCCATGTGGTGGATACAGTACAGATAGCTTTATGATAACTAAACAAGCCAATGAATGTAAAAAATAAACTACACATTCGGAACAAAATGTTATCCTAGTCTTTGTGCTACTATTTTATTATAGAACACGGATCTTACAAACCAATAGATTCATTTTTCCAAGACCAAAAACAACAACAACGATTGAAATGGTTTCTAAATATTTTTACAGCACCGTGGTTACCTCAGGACTAATAATATCAACCACATGATTATACTATTTTCCAAAAACAAGTATTCATATTATGAAACGTATTGACTCTTAGCCAAAGAAATAAATATTTCGACCATTTATCACGCCAGTTTGTTTATTTGTTTTTTGAATTTCGTGCAAAGCTAATCGAAGGATATCTGCCCTAGCAGTCTCTAATTTAGCAGTGACAGACTAAAGTGAAGGCAGCTAGTCAACACCACCCATTGCTTACTCTTGGGCTTTTCTTTTACTAACGAATAGTGGGCTTAACTGTCACATTATAACGCCACCATGGCTGAAAAGGGCAAGCATGTTCAGTAACAGGAATTCAAACTCGTGACAAACAAATTACGAGTAGAGCACCAGAACCACCTTATTATGTCAGGCCTTTATTATGTCAGAGGGTGTAGTATAGGATGGTGCTATATGTCTGCTAACCCCTTAATTATGATATAATTTTCTTCAAAATTATTGCGTTTTTTCATTCATAGTTTGAACGCCAAGATTTGCTCAAGTAACACTAACATTCTTTGTTATGAAAGCATGCAAGATGTGGGATTGGTGGCGTAATATAAAGGAAGTTTATTTTGTTGTTGTTGTCGAATCAGATAAGGATCAGAGGTAGTTCCGCTCTAGAGCTTAACTCTAAGTGGGCACAGATCTTGAATGTGTGCGTTTTGTTTGCAAACTTGGTTTTATAATAGTAGGTAAATAAACAACATCATTTAAAAAAAAAATCTGAATTCAGAGCTACTATAGGAAGAATACAAAGGAAATCCTTTGGTTCCGATACGTTGATGATATATATTTTATGTTTAGCCAAACAACAAAAATAATTTATATGCCTTTTCCCAGAAGATTAACAAGCTTCACAGTACTGTTAAGTTTAAAGTGAAATGGAAAACCAATAATTCACTACAATTTTTAGATATTTTCATAACTAGAGCAGAAACAGGACTAGTTCTTTTTATCTATATAAAACCAACAACTCCCTTTAAGCTATGTTAATTTTTTTCTCGTGTCATCATAAAACGGTTAAAACGTCAATTATAGCTTCAAAATTTTTAGAGATTATATAATTTATCCTCACACGACCCTTGATGATAAAAATCAAAAATATTATCAGAATTTTCGAACGATTACATTGTCCTATTGGCTTTATGCAAAATGTCCATCAAAAAGGCAAAGAAGACATTTTTTAGGAACAATAACCAGCAAACAGCATCATTTACATGTGAAAATAAAAGTAGAATACTTGGCATAAACAACAGTGATAATATTGTGGCTTTAGAGAAATAACTTACCCCAAGATAAAGAGCAGGTTGGCTATATAGTCTGCTGCCAATCCTACGAAAAAGTTTATGTTGGTGAAACGGGTAGCAATTTGGATACAAGGTGTTACAACAAACAAATACTGATATTTTTTCAACACATAAGGAATCTTGATAGTAAAATCAACTGTAAATCAGCCAAAATTTTACATATATTGCGAACTGTGGTACCTGATCGAACGTTCGTCTGTCTCCCACTTAAAAAGCTGCGCACGCAGGTAAAGCTCAACATTCACTTTTGAAATGACGGGAAAACAGGCATGATTAATGTTTATGCCACATTTTATTTCGTAAGCAGGATATTCTAAAGTAAATTGTTAGGAATTAATCACATCATTGTTCATATTTCAAAATGTGACGTAACTTAAAGAATAAAAATGTAGATTTCCCTTATGTTATTGTTGAGCGGCTCTTAGCATGACTGAAATGTTCAACAATTATTTTTCACGGTGGACGGTATAAGTATCTCAGAGCTTCGGCTCTAAGTGAAACCAAGAGTGCAACACAATCAACCATTTTAAAGTCCATGAAATAATTTAAATTGATAGATTGATATAAACTTTTCCCGTTACTGGGGGCGGTACTTTTGCTAGATTAACTTAACCTTTCCCGTTACTGGAGACGATACTTTTGCTTGTAATACATAAAACTAGAAATATTATGAAAAGTTCGTTAATTCAAAGATTGACAAACTTCAACACATCTAAAGGTCACTTGAAGCTGATGACATATGCCATTAAGGGACTTGAAACTTCACAGCATATGTGTTTGTTTCACAAACAAACACTGAACTGAAGAGGACAAGTAAAAGTGTCGAAACTTGTATCCATATAAATTTGGTGTTTTTCCGCAATAATGGATCTAAATCTTATTTTAAACTTGGCTTTGTTTGTGTATCTTGTTTTTGTATAAAAGCCATGTTCGCCTCTATAAAAGAAGTTTCGGATTTATATATAAATATAAGTTTTAAGTTTAACAAACTTTCTTCTAAACTTCTTCTTTGTTAAACTAACCAATTCGTGTAGTTTGTATAACTTTATTAACTGTAATTTTTGTTTACAGAATCTCTTGAATTTAATTTTATCTTGAGGGTTTATGTTAGAGTGACTTGCATTGTTTTAATCTTGGATAATATTAGTTGTTGTATAAGATTGTGGTTTATCTTTTTCGTCTGAAATCCATACTTAATTCTGATTTTTCTTTGGTTTTTGTTGAACTTAGGGGTTTCACTTTTGTTTTTATGGGTAGGATTTAGTTTAACTTATAGGGTGAACACACCGAACTGATTAAAGCTTTTTAAGTAAGGTCTTCATCTTATCGGTTCGACATACACCAATAAGCATTTGTTCTTATTTAGGGTTATTCTTGCATTGTATTGTGATTGTGTTTTTGTAAATAAACATTTGTGTACTTGCCACATTATTAGTGTCGGGTCTCTTTTTCTAGACAATCTCGGTTTTATATCGAAAAGATCACTACACTCTATAGTCCGGTATTCTAAGTTAGCGGATCTAACTGACTGATCTGCGGGAAAACCGTTTCACATGGAATATCAAAAGAGTCTTCTCGAAAAATATAGAATCATGAGTGTTCCAGTACGCAAGAGTTTCGCGTGTATGGCTTTTGACAAGTGAAGTCAACATGGAACAATGATTTGGACCTGGAGCACGAGACAAAGGAATAAGCAAAATCGCGCTTCGCACTTTGGGGATGTAGGTGTGTTATAAGAGTGACGGTCAGATCCCACTGTTGGATTAGCATAGCCGAAAAGATGGCGGTAGGTGCTGTATATAGTCCCTGTGTAGCTTTGCGAGGATATCCGAAAGTGATCTTATATTGTTTAATATTGATTTGAGTATATATTTTTGGACTGTGCGTTAGCATTTCTGTTAGATATTGTAAGTTTTGTTTTTTTCTTTGGGATTCAATAAAAGTTCGTTTTTGAGTCTGTATTGCTAGGCTGTGTAAGATGATACTTATGTTTTTTTCTTTCTTGTAGCTCTCATTTCAGATAGTAAGGGAGATAACAATATGGTTAGATTGGAATGTTCCACCATTGGACCTGGCTGGAAAGTCAACCATCAGAAGCATAAGTGACCTTCACACCCCCTATGAAAAGTGGAGCTTCGAATGTTCATTAACTAAGAATTTCATAATGGTTGCTAGTTTCGTTAAAGGTGCAAATTTTCGTATTAAATGTTACAACTTAGTCAGAGTTGTTTCTTTATTTTTCTTAACTATAATTTGGGATTAATGTCATTTAACAGTTGCTGAGTAATCACAGGTGTTCACGTGTTTATTTCTTTGGGTGCACCTTTTCTTGCCACGTAGAAACCGATGCTGCACTCTATGTACATAGTTTCGTGTTTCTAGATGCCACATTGTTTGAATAATGTCAAGCAACCGATTGACCAAATATCGTCACTGGAATGTTTCACTCGAATACTTTTGTCTGAGGACTTAGTTTGTTTTTTATGTTTCATACTTATTTGATAATGTTTTACATTTTTCACTATTAAAATAATGTTATATTCATATTTTAATTGCATTAAAATATCCGCAAAATATATTTTCTGTTAGTAATAATAATGCTAGTTTATGTTTAAAACACAGTTGTATTATTATTATTATTTCTATTAACAAATACATCAAATATAGACATATTAATATGGTCACATTCTTAATATAATGTTGAAAACAAAGAAAAACTTGCTGAAGAACTTATTAGTGGAGCACATTAAAAATCTAAGCAGAAAAATGTCATTATACTCCACTTCACCTATTTTATAATGTAAAGAAGCAAGAAAATGTCATTATGTTTAATTATACCTATTTTCAAAAGGGTTTTACAGTTTTTTTAAGTTCACACTACATGTAGACGAGACGTAAAAGTGACATATAACACATTCTATTTACGTAGTCACCGTGCGCATGTACTTTTTGATTTATACTTACAGTTTCATGTTAACCTTTTTTTTTCACACTCATTTTTGTTTCGTAACTTTATAGTCACAGTATCTATCTTTTTGAACTTAACCTTCAAGCAAACTTGTAGAAGTAATGTTACATTAAAAAGTTGAAATTTAAATATGGCGTCAAATTTTTGGATGTTTCGAAAATATCGTTCAGGAAAGGAAAGAAAGAGAAATTTCTCACTAAATACGCACTACAAAGAAACTGTTTTCTCACGTTAAGATCATCTGGAAACGCCATCTTTTAATGCACACTCCCGATAAATAAAGTTGAGAAAATTCTATGCTTTGTTTGTTTATTAAAAACTATATGCGTTTTGAATGTTTATTGCGATTTATCTTTTCCGTGCTGCTGATTTTTTTTAAAGAAGTCATATCTGTCAGATATATGTTTCTTCAGATCTATCTTTCGGTTACGTAAGAGGAAAACACCTTATTTGTTTTCTTGGTATTTGTGGAAGAAAATGGTTTAAGTTTTATGAATTAATGTGCAATTACGAAAAAAAAAAAAGACAAAAGAATAAGCCCAGCCATAAATATGTACAACTTGTCTTTACGGTTTCAACTTTTCAAGTTTTAAAATCAAAATTGATATATTACTATTATAAAAGTTTAACTGATAAGATGTTAAAGTAATTGATTACAATGTCTTAAAGTTACCAACTGAGTGTAATGGTGTTCTCGTCTTGGAGTATGAAAGAGACTTATACACCATTACTCCTGAAGAGTTTTATCCACTGTTTTCTCGTGACTTACTGTACCTGAAATGTAGTTAACTCGCTAATATATAATATCTACAAAAAGAATCATGGATTCTGCCAGATGACACTTCTACGTACTTTCTGTGATTTATATTCATTTGAATATTTGATATCCATATTTTCAGTAAAGGATATTTAGCTTGGTTTTCAACATATTGCTGATTTATTTTCGTATCTTTTAACGAAAGGCGTTCTTGTCTGTTAAACAACTTAAAATATTACAGTTAATACTATTTGCATTTTACATAAGCATAACAACATGTTGTCTCGTCCCCCAAAAGAGGGATTACCAAATTTGAAACGAGATTCTATGTAATAGAAAATTACTGAACGCCGTAAAAAGTTAATTATGTGTTTTCGTATCTTTCCCTCTTTCAAAATATCAAAAGTTATCACCAGCACTAGTGATATGGTTGGACAGCACTTTTCAGTTACGGGAGCAAGGCTGAGAAAGGCATTGTTTATTTGAGGCATTATGGAATAGTTGTTTAAACGAACTCTAGCAATTTTAAGCGTTTTAGGGAGGTTAATGTCCGTTACATAGTTAAGCGTCAAGTACTGGTACTGGATAATGGGGGTCGTTGAATAAGATTTTCTTTGTTTAATCATTTTAACCTTTGATAAAGTCGAGCATGGTATGTCCGTGACAAACACACATTGTGAAACTACTGACTCCACTTCAAATCCTGCGATTTGAGGATAATTATAGGATGAAGCTATGAGCTAATCGTCAGATTGACGTTTCCAGAATTTATTAATAAAGAATCATAACTTATCCCTTAAGCGAGGAACGATCTTCAGAAAATGAGCGTAGAAATTGTAATAAATTTCCCTTTGGAATAAAATAGTGGTAACTGGAAATACACCAAAAACATAAAAGCTAAGTAATGATCATAAGAGATAAATCGTATGCAGTAATTTATAGTAACTGGTTTCGAAAGTAATGGTCACTAGAGGCAAATGCTAGGATCAAAATAATAACTCGGTGTGACCTCTTTCAAAGGTTAGGTAATAGTCAGCACAAGTAAACCTTAGGATCCTCAATAATCCCTTCTTTGGATACAGAATGATGATTTGCAGAGGCACAACCATGGGATTTATAATAACTCCTCTTCCGAAAGAAAGCACTAACAGTCAGCGACTGAGAGAGGGATTTATATCAATATTTTCAATAAAAAATCAACATTAATCCTCTCAATAAAATAAAACAATATATATCGAAAGCACAGCAAATGTTTTATGATAAAAATTAGCTTTTAAAGTGGAGATTTATAAACTACAGGCAAGCCTTTAACATAAGTATATCAATATCTTAATTCAAACAGTGCAATAATCAGTAGGGGCAAACACATAAAACTGTTTCGGAGTTTTTGCGAAAAGCTACACAAAGGGATATTCCTAATTTTGAATTGATAGATTATAAGGAAGGCAGTTAGTTAACACCATAAAGCACCAACTCCTGGGCTACTATTGTCAGATCGAGTAACAGTTACTCCTATAACCCATCCCAAATTGCTGAACGCGTTTTTACAGCGAAGTCCCACAAATCTTCAGATTCACATTTCCAATGTGCTAACCACTATGCCACGCCCCCCAAAACAACAACAACAACAACAAAAAACAAAACAATCAAACTGTAATAACCTTAAATGGCTTAAAGTAAAGTAAATTGGAGACCGAAAAAGTTTTAATGTTATCCCTTCTCTAAAACGAAAACCAATACATTTGTTATAATCTGATCCCGAATTAGACGTAATGTTTATCAGACACAGAACACACGATCTTACACAATTCATATATCTCGCGCAGAGTAACTGCCATCTTTTATGTTTATTACAGTTCTAACTTTAAGAAGCTGACGAAGAATGATAATATATATATATAATATTGATAATTCCTTTAGCTATCGCAGTGTTAATGCACATGTATCTAAACTGTGAAAAATAGAAAACGATTATACTTAGTAACGATCATAACTGACGGCTAGATACCAGTTTTGAACAAACTTCATGTTCTTTACTGTTCCAGTTCCATAGAGATCTAGG